CCCCTTCGTTCGCAAAAGTTCGCTTTGGCCGACACCCCCCCTCCCCCCAAGTGCGAACGTACTTTGAGAACCACCCCTAAGCCAATTAGTAAATATATAAATTAATTCAAATCATATTAAATTGTTGAATTTAACTACTATTATTAACTATTGAGATATATGGAGCTAATTTTATTTTGATTAACCTAATAATAATTTTTTATTATATTAATTTTTAGTTATAAGTTTATTTTTCAAGCTGATGTCTTTCGAGCTAATGTTATACTCCCTTTAAATATTACCTGGATTCGATTGCACGATACTAATAATTCGACCCCCTTGGCAATAGATTGAGGAAAGTACCATGTCATATTGCTTCTCATGTAATTAAATAGCATCATTGATACAAATACAGCTTTAGTAGTCAGTATATCACCGGTGAGTACCAAGGTAATAAAACTGGAAAATAAGAGCAATTTGGTTGCCATACTGTACAGCGACATATTGATCGCATTTAAAAAGCATGACCTTTGTATACACGACACTTCCTGTCTAAATGTTAAAACTATATTATATTATAAATTGCTTAAATTATGGTCATTTACTTTCGTGCCTCAGCCACGAGGTCTGCGAAGGGCTGTTCCCAGGAATACATTTTGATGACTCGCATACCGGATATGATCTCAACCATATGCCGGAGCCGATTGTCAGTGAGCTTTGCGGTCATTAATCTATTAAAAAAGTAATTCATATAATAAATAAACTTGCTAAATGTACTATATGATAAGTACTAAATATAATTATACCATTAACATACCTAACTTTTGAAAACATTTTGCCCATGAATAATTGAAATACAATAAGTAAAATTATTAAACCAACTGGCACTAAACTTGCCCATCCTATATAAGTGTATGTAACATATATAGTAATGCCGGTCTGAATGGGCGATATAATAAAATAACTGGCGAATAGTGCAAACTATAATAAAATAATTATCAAGTTGGTTTTTATTGAACTAAAGATACAGGTAGTTACATACAGTATCAAATCTATTTGCATCGTTGGACATTAAGTTTATAATCTGCCCAACAGAAGTCTTTTTCAATGATAACCGGTTCAGTTTTAGTAACTATATTATCATGATATAATTAAATTTATATATCCATTATATTATAATTTAGAATTATATGTATATCTTAACGGTAACTATACGTAAGTTTCTAAAAGAGACTAACTTTTTTATAAATTAATGCACAACATGCGGCACGGGCGCGCATTCCCAGTTGCACAAAACGTATCAAGGTGATTTGATATAGCATTATGAACAATATGGTGCACAGACACACACCACCAGCGGCCATACAAGCATGGTCATATGTTATTAGGTCAGCGTCAGCAAAATAATCTATAACATATCCGAGTAATATAGGCTGTGCCATACGGAGCACACACTCCTATCACAAATAAATTGAGATCAAATGTTAAAGACTTTATATAATATGGCTTTATTTTATCCATATAATATAATAATGTTATAAGTAAAGCTTCAATTTTCCGGGAGTAAAAACATTCAAATTCGGGAATAAAAAAGTCAAAATCGAAAAAATTCGGGAATTATGTTTTTATTCAATTTTAACACAATAATAATGTAAATTAGCTTTGAATTTTGCGACACACTCTACAGTATGTAATGTGAACAATACATGTTATGTGAAACATATTGGTATAAAATACCTTTAAATTAGTGCACGCTTTTTTCATACATGTTATCATAAAGTTCATTTAATCCTTTTATCACACATTATTTGAATAGGTTTTGATATCAGTTATATCCAGTTTAGCATTTTATTAAGAATTTTGATGAAATAGCTATAAAATACATAATTTTATCCAAAAAATGTCTAATTTCCGGAATATTTGTCATAAAAATAGACTTTTCCGGAATTTTCTCAAAAATATGCTAAAATCGGGGATTATTTCAAATAATCCAAAATCGGGAAAATAAAACGTATATTTTTTAAGTCTATAATAACCTCTAAATCTAATGGTATATAATTCCCGAAGATTTTGTTAACTATTTTATTTGGGAATTCACTAAATAGAAGCTTTAGTTATAACCACTATTTGTCATTTGAGCCGCAACTGAACATTTTGTAGTTTTAAAATCTATGAATGTATTTCAGGAAAGCCTACTTTTGCCAATCCCTGGTTATAACTCACCATTACTAAAAGCAATATGAATGGTGTTATATGGTATTCAAAAAACGTTTTGAATAAAGCTAGATGCAATCTTGGTGTTTTTTTCTTTAGTTCGATATCCCAATTTCTATATAAATATAATATCATTTAAAATAAATTTATCATAATAATTTTTTATATTTTATATAATATATTGAAATTGCTAATTAGCAAATGAATAAATGTAGATAATTAGTGTACACTACTTCTCTAAACATTGAACCAAATACTCGGAGGCGTCGTATTGTGAGCACCGGTACATGTCGTCGAAATTCAAACGATTATTTTTCATACCCTTCAGGAATAGCGGATATATCCACCTATTTCTTGCAAAAATTAGCACGATTAAATATATATTAATAATTAATTATTAATAAAAAATATTTTATATATACTGTAGCTAAGTAAGAATCTATGTCAACGAAACCCAATTAATCCCGACGGGAGTGATATGGTAATGATCAGAACAATGAAGAGACTAATATTCATGCTTCAAAACATGCGAATGGCCACAAACACGGGAGTTATGGACATATCTTTAACCACAGGCATAGGGCTAAATGCATTGAAAGCTGATTTTTTAAATGAGTAATGTCATTCATCAAAATTGTAATGCATTGAGCCCTATGCCTGTGGTTAAAGATATGTCCATAACTCCTGGGTTTGTGGCCATTCGCATGTTTTAAAGCATGAATACTATTCTCCTCATTGTTCTGGTCATTACCATATCACTCCCGTCAGGATTAATTGGGATTCGTTGTGTTTATGCATATTAGTATATGGTATATATTGTAGTTTGTTAATATATATTGTTTTTAACCAGTATTCTGATAGGAATAATGTGGTTTATAGGATCGTTCGGCCCCCCCCCCCGACCCC